GGCACCGCACCGCCGGCCCGTGCCCCGAGCCCCCGGCCCGGCACCGCTCCGCCGGCCCGTCCCGATTTTCCTGGACATGTCTGGCTTTTTGGGATTTCCCCCCGGACGGGGATTTGGAGCCCAAAAAGCCGGACATGTCCGGGAAAATCCGGACGTATGGTAACCCTACTGTTAGCACATGTTCAAAACCACTCAGCCCTGCCTACGCAAATGTTGTTAAACAGGTCTATCCTATCCAGAGAAATGTGGGTTTACCTCAATTTACAGGTAAGTAGTAAACAGGTCCTGAAGACAGCAAGGGGAATAAATGAGAGGAGACAAAGCAAATTTGCATTTCAGCAAACACAGGTGGGAAGAAAGAGCATAGAGACTCTATCACCACCAGACTCCATGTCACCTCCTTTACAGTTTGAATAATCTTTGCTTTGAAGGGGTAATCTTCAGAAGAATCCACTTTCAAGGTTCACTGGACTATAAAAGAAAGGGGGCAGAGAACCCCAAGTTCTCTCTCTTGCTCTTTCACCTAAGATAACAAATGCACCAGCAGCCTCTGGGAAAGATCCTGACCAAGGAAAGGGTCAGTCACCATCTTGCTGGAAGACTGCAGATGAGAAAGGCCATCTTGAACAAAAGCCTGGAACTAAAACTTGGTAGATTAAGTTTTAGACTTTTAAATGCATGCTTTCACTTTTATTTACTTGTAACCATTTCTAACTTTCTCTCTTACACTTGAACTCACTTAAAATCCCATCTTCTTTTGTTAATAAACTTGTTTTATTTTCTAATATAAACCAATCCAATGCTGTGTTTAGACTGAACTATTCGGTGACTCCAGTCAGGGCCGGCTCTCCAGTCGGCGCCACCCGCCGCCCTCCCTCCCCCACCACAGCGCAGCAGGGGAGGGCGCCGAGCCCGGCCACGGGCCGCAATCCCCAAACGGCCGGAGCATCGGGGGAAGGGCGGCGAGCCCGCCGCGGCTCCGCTCTCCCTGGCGGCCAGAACGCCGGGGGGAGGGCGGAGAGCCCCCGGCGGCCAGAGCACTGGGAGGAGGGCGGCGAGCCCACCGCAGCTCTCCGCTCTCCCCGACCGGCTGGAGCGCCGGGGGGAGGGCGGCGAGCCCAGTCGCGGCCCCGCTCTCGGGCCGGAGCGCCCCACCGCGCCGCCCCCC